TGTGAGACACACAATAGCACAGAATGGAAGAGAAGGTTGAACACGAGGCAGAATGGGCAAGAGTAGTATTGTTTTAGGGTGAATTAAGCCTAGCTGGTGAGGTGGAGAGGTGGAGTAGCCATGTGGCTGGCAGTTCTCTGCCTCCCCAGCACAGCCACACACTGCTACCTTTAGGCATTTCTGGGGATCCTTCACACAGAGAACATGTTTACAAAGCACAACAAAACGAATGTAAGACAAAACATTGGGAAAACCTGCAAGATACAAGAACGCATAGGAATGGGAAAGCTGATGGAGCCACTCTTAGGAGCTTTGTTCTTTTTTAAGCCTGGGAAGAAAACTGAGAGGGAAAAAATAATAATCTAAAAGCTGTGCTATGAAACAAAAGCTACCTAGAATTAATGCTTTACAAATTCCCAATTTACGAGTCTCTACATGATCTATGCAGATGTATGCATGACATAAAGGGGATTTTAATTCCTTTGAATGAGTTTTAGTTCCCCAAAACGCTTGTTCTGTATGGGCATGTGTACATACAGTAAGCCAGTCAGACTGCTACATGCTTTAGAAAATCAAGACTTAAATAAATTTCTATTTTTGGTTGAACAATCTAGGAAAAAAAGACTTTCAAACAGACAAGCCCATTCCAAACTACTTAATGATTAAAAGTTCTTTTCTGCACATACAGTTCTGGAGTTTCTAAGATACAGTACAGAAAAAAAAAAATTGATTTGATGGCAATAAGACAAACTTTTGAATGACATCTTTTAAGTGACTGCTCAATCCTCTGAATACAAAAACCAAAAAAAGAATGTATTCAGAATTTACAAAGAAGTCATTTGTAAAACTGACTTCTAATACTTGGGGAATATTTTTGTGTTTACTTTCATAACTACATTGCTGTTTTCAAGAAAAACTATGCACAAGATCTCAGGATCGTACCTCCTGCCCTTCCAAATAGCTTTAAATACCTAAAGCACGTTAAAGATTTCCTTTCTACAAGAACTTTTCTTGCCTGTAGTTTGTTGAAGAGCTGTACTTCTAAGAAAGATGAGGAAAATCCATTTATTACTTTGAATATAGAAATAAAAAGGCAAAACTTGCTGAATTAGTATGATTTCTTGGACACATAAAACTGAAAAAAATCTGTATATACATAACATTCAACTTCACCAGTTAGACAAGAGATACCTGAAATCTATATATTTTTTTTTATCCTGTAGGTTGTAGAACAAATGTTTAAAATACTGGCAAACAACTGTAAAATCAGATACAAAATATAAAACCTTTCCACCCTAGTTCAAATTCTAACAGTGATTGCAAGACACTGGAAAAGCAGTCTCATAAACTATTAAAAAAGTGAATTAAATAAAATGGGGAGGGGGCTGCTATTGTGTGTATTTTTTACTGTGATTGCCATGTCATTGTTTCCTAGTCTTTGCCATTAACCATACTTTGCTGAGGCAGAAACTATAACTATGTTCATCACAGTAACTATTTCTACTTTAACTGTTATAAATCTTAATTGGAGATATTTTCATCCTCTTTAGAAATATACACAACTGAATACATAATAATTTAAGACCAAGAATCTTAATCCCTTATTAAAAATAAAGAATTAAACTGTAAGAAAGCACAATCGTTTGTAGGGTGCAAGTTTAAATACTAAGAAGCTGAAAAACATAGAAGTTAACATGATCCCTGCTTCGCTTTCAAGTCCTTCTATAACATTAATCTTTCAAATCTTGCCTTCATCGAATACAGACTGAATTTCAACAGAGATTATAAACACAACTTTCACTGACTTCTGAATTTATGGAAACAACTCAGCCATAAGCAAGTGAGAAAGGAAGAAACTATATATTCTATGTTCTGTCTTTTGAGAGTCTAACATTTTATCAGTAGGGGTACAAGACTACCATTTTCATGATCAGAGTAAACGTATCACAGCAGCATTCTTGGCCTAATTTACACCAATGGAAAGCCTTGTGTCAGAGGCCAGAATTTACTTCTTTAAAGGGTGAATGACGAAATATCAGTAAGAGAAGTGATCCCTACATTAAGTTGCCTCATGTATTCCATAATCAAAAGGAATATTTCTGTACTATTTCTGAAGGTTTTTCCTATTCATAGGGAACAAACCCTCAGTATACAGAGTTACTTCAATTTCATCCCTCTGGATTCAAAAGCATGACTTCCTCTCACCTGTATTTCCCAGGAAAAATGCTGGCAGCCTGCCCAGAGCCCTGAGCATTCTGAAGTGCCAAGGCTACAACTCCCTTGCAACACTTCGATGGGGATGCCAAAGAGCTGATTTACTGCTTACACCAAAGGGAATCAGGCTGTGCTGGAGTAAACAGCCCCTACAGCCCATGCATTTGATGGCATTAGGGCACAAGCATTCAAACTGACTCAAACCACATAAGGAGAGGAAACAAATTACAGAGCTGAGCTGGCATTCCCAGGCCTCAGCATCTTATTTCAGCTCTAAAGAAGCAGCTCTCTCAAACTCCACATTAAGAGGGAAACCCAGAAACCCCACCATAAACTTTAACCCCAGAACACAAGTCTAGCAGCCAATGCTCTTCTTTTGAGCATGGGGCAGTAAAACCTCACTTCCCAAAACTGGGGGCAAGAAAGGCAGTGAAATCAGTCTCCTCTTCTATGATACAAGACTTTGTTAACCTCCCAGGGAACAGATTTGCTGCTGAAACTGAATAGTCAGCCCTGTGGTTGAAGACAGAGCAAAATGCCCTGGGTTCAAACTTCACTTCTGACAATATAGTACGAAAAATAACATGTCCACTAAAGAAAACTCTAACAGGTACATACAAAAGACGGCACTAAAACAAAACAGAATGCTATTTAGACTGCTAAAGAAAATTTAGATTAGTAAGCACTGTTTTTCATACAGCTGATTTAGTCATTGCAATATACATCATGACCCTTAATGACACACTCAGATGGTTTTGCATTGGACTTCCAGCTCATTCATTTCACAGGGTGAACATGAAAGGAGCAGATATAAATTCTCAGAGTAAGTGTAAAGTTTCCACCCCTTAACTCCTCAGTACTTTCTCTTGTAAACTAAATAATACTACACCAATGTACTTTTACATGACTGTATTTCATCTTTCTGCATCTATCATTTCTTGGTCTAGAATAAAGTCAGAGAAGCAAAGCTCAGAAAAGACCCCCTGCTGAGGTCATTGGGACTGCATATGAACATCTGAGAAGATAATTCAACTCTTTAACAATATCCTATCTCTCCATAATCTATTTCAATACTTGTTTTCTATTCACTTAGCAGTGTGATTATGTTACCACTACACAGCACTTTGCATTCATAACACTGATCCTATTACACTTTCACATAGGGAACCTGCATAAAAAGAAGCCTATTTGCCTCACTCTTTACATCTGAAAGTCAGAAACTTTGTGGAAAAATGCACTGTGTGACTGATGGTGCAGACCACATGCTTCCCACTCAGACATCCACAAATGTTAAAAGAAAAACATTTTTTCAGTGGAGAAAGCATCAGTGGTGGGAATTAAGCTCTGGAAAGTTACTAATGAAAAGAGACAGTCTCACAGCAGATGAAAATCCACTGTACACTGATACCATCCATCTTAAAAGATAACCTTACTTCGCTAATGTGTAATTCATTTAGAACTTTGTTCCCTCTTCAATGACTTATTAATAATTCATTTACAAGCCATGAGATTAGGAGCAAATGGGCACAGAAGAAAATGTATTCGAGAAGATTTCAGTACCGACTTACCCATCTGCAACCTGCATCTTTACTCTGTACCAGGAAACACACAACTACCTTGTGGTTTCAAGCTGCTCCCACTGGCTATCTCTATACTGCAAGACCACAGAGTACTTTCAAGTCAGCTTCCAAACCTAAAAGGAAGTCATGGCAGAAATCCACAGCAGTATTATAGCCTGGGATAAGACATGAGCATGCACAATCCCTCAGTTCCCTGGTATCCATGGAACAGAAAGAAGGGTACACAGGCCAGAAGGAAGCTGTGCCATGCCTTCAGCTACTCCTGCTCTGGGTTTTCAGGAAATCAGGTCTGCCCAAGCCTCCTAAGGTAAAGCACTGTCTATTGTGTATGTAATAACTTATTTAGAGAGAAACAAATAATCTTCACTTAAAAACTGAAAAGGCATAAAAAAGTCGTATGTTCAAACTGTGTTTATAAACAGAAGCTTGAGAAATAGAGCACTGCCTTAGGGAAACTTTCATTGAGAATGGATCACAGTTTAGAAAATAGCAGAAGATAAAGAGACATCTGTCCCATTGCTTCTGAACAAATACCAATAATTAAATGAGCATATGGAGCCTTTTGGGTTGAACGAGTAATATTCTATCAGGTCATCACAGCAGTAAAATACATACTACCATAATTCTGCATGTTTAGGTATGCTGTAGATTCTCTGTACAATGCAAAACAGTAGTGGGAAGCTACAGCTGCTAACAACTCTGGTCCAGCAAAGTGATTGATGAATCCTGTGCTGCCTTGGTACTCATAGTATCTTCTCTGCACAAGGCTATGTATCACAGCTAACCCACAGCTAAATTCCACAGTACATTCTTCTACCTTGTTTCAAAATCAAAGCTGTCTGTAGGTTTTGCAAGTGACATAATGCAAGTGGCATATTTAGAAGAAAAAAAAGTCTTTCACAACACGAGTATTTCCTTTCAGTTGTGAAGTGTTTGGAAAAAGATACTAAAAACAAACAAAAAGTTTTGTGAAAAAAAGGAGCAAGATATCCCCTACTTTCTCTTGAGAATCAACCAAACCCTAACATACTTAGCATTTGGACAGACACACATCAGTTGTATCCCACTTAAGAATGTTGTACGAACACAACAAGGACTGTAAGCCAGGCTCTTTCACCCTATGCCTCTAAACATGAGGTGGGGAGAGTGCTATATGAGAATGACTGTGCTGGCCACTCTCAGAAATCAGTTTCCTTATTTCCTTACCCTCTGTTTCCGTAGGCTTCCTGGGCTGGTGGGAGATGGGCTTGGAGACTTCCCAGAGCGGGGAGTAGAAAGTTGGCTACCAGGGGTTCCATTCACTAAAATGATATTAAATTGAGAAAATAAATACAAAGCATTATTAAAAGAAAACAAATAGTTAAATGAAGATATATCATTCCCTCTCACTCTTTTTTTAACAGCTTAGCTTTTTTTTCCCCCCATGTTTTATACATAAAATAAGGTAATTCACAAAATAAATGTTTCCTCAGAGTTTTGGCTCTTGAAGCCATTTTTCATACAGAATGCAAGCAAATAATGAATCTGAAAAGGCTGTTCAGTCAATGACTTGAGAACACTATCATATTTTCTTCACCAATACTGTTCCTGCACTTGAAAGCAATGGAGAGCAATGTGCTTTGTTAACTTCAGCAGATATTTACTGCATGTAAACTTTTTCATTTTGTTTAGTTAGAGCTTCAAGTACAACCCGTCAGGAATAAAAAGCAGTTCTGCTTTAAAGAACAAATCAACTGTTAGCTGTCCTTCAGCCATTTGAAGAGATTTTTGCATTACTATCTAACCCAAACACCACCTCAGACTCAATCCAGAAGGGCTTTCTAGGTGCAAATAAATTTGATGTAATATCCCAAGTCTAATGTACATCACACCATCACTTTCTCAAATAAATAAGTTCCTTCAGACATGCCAGTGCTTATAACTGTAGAAGCATCTTTTCATGCATGTGACATTATCCATTAAAAAAACCAAGACAATACCAGCAGAGGACAGAATTCTACAAAGTAATCACTATCAATAATGTTCACACTGAAGCACTGGTAGAAACACTAACAAGTATGTATCACACATCTCTGTAAACATTCTCTAAACAAGCAGCTGTTATATCACAGTCCAAAGCTATCAGCATCAGGAAAAAAAAAGAACCAACAATTCGACTCCCAGAATCTTTGGAGAATATTTACATACTAGGATATCAGCAAGGCATTTGACTTACCTTCTATGAGTTCTAGCATGGACAAAATCTGACTGTTTAACCTGACAACAGCAAGCAGCAAAATTCCTGCTCTGTGCTAAGCCAAGCTGTAGCAAAACTGAGAAGCGACGGGATTAGTTAAGGATAGCTGGGGCTGCTCACACAGTGAGCTGAACGCGATGCAGGATTCATAAGCAGAAGCCTTTTGTGCGTAAGGCTGACGTCTTCAGAGCAGCAGTGGGAGGTGCAGGTGCTGTCTTAGGGCTACATCAAAGGTGTCAATTAAGCATAAAGCTGCTGCTTCACAACGCTGAGCCACCACAACCCCCACTCGCTTGCCATGGAGCCCCGAAAGCCTGAGCAATTTTATATGCTGTGCACTGAATCATAACGAGGTGCCTTTGGGGGCAACATAGCAAATGACTCATCTGGAAATCAAAATGACAATAACACTTGTAAAACCTTGGCTGACTGGCAATCTAGCAAATACTAATTCCTTTGGATAATACAGTAGGTATTTTAAATGGCTTTTTTCTTGCTTTTTACATAATACTTTGCTCTCACTGGATAACACTGGGCCAATATATTATGAAGAAGAACAGCTATACCTACTACACTACGTGGATCAATAAAATACAGCATGCTGAGTGATAAATCACAACTACTAAATAGTGATTAAGTGCTACAAGCGATTGGATCTCAACATCATTTTGTGCAAAGCACTGTTTAAGATAAAGATGCATTTTCTTTGTATAACCATATGAACAATAAGAAATAGCAACTGCATTTACATGGAATGCTTTTATAGGAAACCATTGCACTCATCTAGGCTACAAACTCTCTTTGTACAGAGGACAATGGTTTAATATATCAGCACTGATTCAAATTTGTCCAAAGCATGTGTGGGGGAGTACATGCATATGGATGGACACATTCACTGAAGGTCACTTCGGCAAGAAAAACACACGGAGCTCTGGCGAATAGTACAGAATATAGCTAAAACTGAAGTTATTATCAGGACTTCTGAAAACAATTATGAAAAGGGATACAGGAAGACATCAAAAAAGAGTTTTTTGTAGTCACAGATTTTTAAAGTTTCAAAGCATTTCTGCTAAACAAATCTGTTATTATTTAAAAAACTAATATTAAACTACTGCAGTTCAGAGAGACCTAGATATCAAGACTGCTCAGTAGTAAGACTTCTGCTCCCCCTTCTCTTTAAACCCAGCAGATTTTCTTAGGTTTAATTACTATTTTAGAGAAAATTTAAGACAAAAGATATACTTTAATAAACTACATTAACATCAGGCATAAGTTCCCATTCCTTATGGATTGACTCCTTCATAATTTCCATCATTAGTTTCTCCCAATTAGTTATTTTCCATTACTAATGTACTTTTTTTCTTTTTTTTTTTTGTCTTAAAGAGAAAGACTTGAGGCTACCAACAAACAAAGAGATGCAATGGTGCATTTGACTCGATGCATTTCCCACATGTACCATGCTGGTGAGTATGTGCTTTAGAAGAAAAAATTATAAACTCTAAAAATTCTAAAAATCATTCATTTGTCATCACCAGATTGTCCAGAGTGGCTACTGGAGGCTAGCCATTGGAGGCTAAGCTCCAATGTTTTCCTCTAGAGTATATTTTTTAAATGAAAATGATGAAAGCTGTTGTGGTGGTGTTAGATGTCAGTAACGTGTGAAATCCAGAGGACAGTTAATGGATCGAGTCTTCAGGAGATCTGAATGTGCTCATCTTCTTCCCCATGTCCAAAATACAAAGATGCAAAGTACATAAAAAACACATCAGGGTTTTTGTGAACATACAAGGACTTCCTGTGAAAAGCTGTTTAGTAAACTCTAGAGCTGACAATTAGCTCTGGGGATATGAATGTTTTTACCAGTCATTAGGTGTGTAGAGTGTCAACTTTTACTCCTGGAGTAATTTCTATCTTATTTTAATCAACTTGCTGTTGTAACATGAGTTGAATTATCCCCACGCAACTGACTAAAACATCTGGTGAGCCATGTACTAGAAGTATCCACTGCAGTGTAGACTTCTAAAGTAAGGCAAGATGAATCCAAACTTGAGCACTTAGAAGACTGAAACATACCGAAGACTAAGCAAAATTCTCTCCATCTACCAATTTGGGTGGATTTTATATCAAGCACAGAACTCCGTAAAGTAAACTGATGTCTGAAGGCCATATAGGTTCCACATTAGAGTCAGCCCAAAATGGGATTCGGGTGATGTGGAATCTATTTCCAGCTCTTTGTATCCTTCTGCGTTAACAACAGACATAACTCATGTCATCCCAGCCATTCTTCTACTTAGCCTTCGAGTTCTGACAGAATGAACTCTCAGCACACATCACATTATCTATATTCTAAGTGCTCAGTGCATGTGGAGATATACATTTCTATTACTCCTAATTAAGTTACTGCTTAAAAGAGAATCACAACGAGGAAGAAATGGACATTTCTTATAATTCCTCAGTCCACTGCAGGGACTTCATTTATTCAAGTATAACTTGCTGGCTATAAACCATTCTAGTTTCTTACACCGAATTTTCAAATTGAGTTGATATTCTGTACAGTGGAGCAAATGAGGTAGGACTGATTGTGACCACCTTTCTTAGCTCCATTTATAATCGTGACATCTTTCTCACATATGCAGCTTATGATCAGATAACATGGGAACAAACGTTGAATAAAATTTGTAACATTTCTGTATTTTTGGACTGCCCAAAACTCTATTTCTAGGTTGAATGCTTTCTGGTCTGAAACTGCATTCCTATCCAGTATCTGCACTGCATTTCTCAATGACTGACTGATACAGTACATTCCTACAGGGAACCATGATGTAGATAAAAACATATGAAATTGGTAAATCACTGTTGTGATTAATCATGTTCTTGAGTGAGGGAAGAGGTTTCTTGTCACTTTTATTCATAAAAAGGCAGGGGTCAGAGACATCAGCTCACCACACTGCCTTCCCATTGTCTCATGAAAAAGATTTATTCATTCAAAATTTCACAGCTGAAGTACATATTAGAAAGCTAAAATAATAATAATGAAATTATTGTGGCTGCTCTGAAAAAGCATATGCACAGTCTCAGCAGTTGTGAACTCCTCTGCTTACTGTCATCTCTTGATAACAGGGCAGCAACCTGTCTTTTCACTTCCTTTTGCAGGATCTGAATACCCACAAAGGTAGAAGGAAGTCCACAAAATAGAACACTGAAGCTGGACATTAATATTTACTTAGATAAATGGAAAACAGGTTTTCATATGAAGATATTTATAAACTGGTGGAAATGCTATAAATAAAAAATACCTTGATAGCATTCCAATAAATAAGCCATCTTAATAGTGCATCTTTTTATTAAGTAATGAAAACAAAAAGTGAGAGAAGCTGAATTAAGCTATCAGGTGCCAGTCTGCCATTGCCACTGCATTATATTAAAATCATACTATCCCATAAAATTGCCTATTAACGTTAGCATTTGTAGACTATAAACTATATTGAGATTACTGTGTTTATGAAAGTGGTTTGCCAAACACAGAAGTGCGCGTGTAAAGAGGAAAGAGGAGACTAAGAGTGATGAAGGCTGTTTTGCAACCACAAAGCATTCATGACTAAAATGTGCAACAGTCTAAACTGAAAAAGTGATTTACAGAAGTAACAACATGTGTATGTCATATTCAGCTACTGTTAGCTACAAGGTGGTGATGCCAGGTAACTACTTGACTTTGCCTCAGTTACTCCTGTAGTTTCTCATTGTCCATTTCAAAATAAAGCTTTCTTTCAAGAAGATTATGTAATTACAAGGTATTTAGGGAACAAGATCTTGGCATTTAATTCTTTCTGCTTCTGTATTCTATTTGTATACAACTTGTACTTTTTATCTTCATTGCAGAAGGAAGAGATTGTCCAGAGCACTACATTAAGCAAGTAGCCTCATTATCGCTCTTCAGGGAAGACAAGGTTTTCCAGGTTTTACCTAAGTGATAAACTAGTTGGAATAAATACAAAATAATCAGTACTGCATTTTTATAACTGGTGCTAAGGCGCCCCTTGTACATTCAGTCTTTCCTAGAGTTTA